GGCATAGAGGAGAAACAATAATGTACAGTATGTGGAAAATAATGTGTTTTTTGAACCTTAAACCGCATAAACACATTTCATTACACCAAATACACAAAATAATGTTCTTTTTAGCAACATCATATGACCCCTTTAAAGGAATAGTTCACTCAAAAATGAAAATTTACTGAAAATTGACTCTTTTTTGAGAAAATTTAGTTTTTGAGAAATGTATCATTACATCGCTTGCTCATGAATGGATCCTCTGCAGTGAATGTTTGCCATCAGAATAAGAGTCCAAACAGCTGATAAAAAGCTGATAAAAACATCATCATAATCCAGTCAATCAATAAACATCTTGTGAAATGAAAAGCTGCATGTTTGTAAGAAACAAATCCATCATTGAGATGTATTTTAACTTCAGACTGGTGCTTCTGGCTAAAATAAGTCCTCTATCCATAAAATTGCTTTGTTCAATGAAAAAGTCACCTTGTCTGAATCAGGAGAGAAATAGACACAGATCAAGCACCGTTTACAACAGTACAAAATATTTCTATTTTGATGTAAGAAGATAACAAGGGATGGACTTTTTCACTGGAGGCACTGGAAGCATTTATTTGGATTATGGAGTCATGTTTTAGCCAAAAGCAATGCCTTAATGTTGGATTTGTTTCTAACAAACACACAGCTTTTCACAATACTTCACTTGATGGACTGGAGTTGTGTGGATTACTTGTGGATTATTGTGATGTTTTTATCAGCTGTTTGGACTCTCATTCCGACGGCACTCATTCACTGCAGAGGATCCATTGAGGAGCAAGTGATGTCAAAATCCATTGATTCTCAAAATCCATTCCAATTTTCAGGAGATAATAATTTTTGGGTGAACTGTTCCTTTAAGTTTTACAACCCTTGTCATGTGCTTGCTTCACTTTAAAATAGCTGCTAGACGTTTATGCAATAAGTTTTTAATCTCCCCAGATCCACAGGCTGTCAGTCTTGACAATTACCCCATCCACACAATCACCGGCCTGGTCAAACTGTGGTTACGGGAGCTACCCGACCCACTTATGACATACAGCCTCTACAATGACTTCCTGTATGCTGCGGGTAGGTTTTTGGCCACGTGCAATTTTGGGTGCTACATATGTTAGAAAGAATCACACATTTTACATTTTCTTCCCCTCCAGATCTGCCAGAAGCATCTGAGCGGTTGCGTGCTATCTACCGAAAGTTGGATGAACTACCTCCCTCAAACTTCTCTACTCTCGAAAGGCTTATTTTTCATCTTGTGAAGTAAGGAACCGTTGCATATGACTAAGGTGAATATTAGACATCCTGTGCATTGCCTCACCACTTGCGTAATTTCTTTTTATATTTAGAGTGGCAAAAGAGGAAGCTCACAATCGAATGTCAGCTAACGCTCTGGCTATCCTGTTTGCACCCTGCATTCTACGCTGCCCAGATTCTTCTGACCCTCTTCTCAGTATGAAAGATATAAACAAGACCACTCTGTGAGAATCATTTTGGTTTATTTGTGTTCATTTATGACTAGATTGTTTGTCTGGTTTGACTTGGTGCTAATGGTTGATAGTAAAATCGGAAAAGGTACAATACAAAATACATAAATTGTGTAAGCAACTAAATTGTTAATTGTTATTAAACAATTAATTGTTAATTGGCCAACATTTTGTAAAAAGGCCTACATTGCCTCATATGAACCTTATGGTTAACATTTATGTGCAGTTGTGTGGAAATTCTAATTAATGAGCAAACAAGGTGCTATAATCAGAAAATGGAAGAAATTCAGCAGTTGGAAAATGCAGAAGCTATGGCCATTAATCAGCTCAAGCTCAGAAGGCAGAGCACGGTAAGAAAAACTTCACATACTAGATAAATGTACACTACCATTACATTTTTTTTTTTTTTTAAGAAATTAGTGTTTTGAATCAGCAAGTAGGCATTAAATTGATCAACAATGACAGTAAAGACATTTATAAGATAACAGAAGATTTTTGTTTCAAATAAATGGCGGTCTTTTGAACTTTATATTAATCAAAGAATACTGAAAAATATCATGGTTTCCACAAAAATTTTCAGCAGCAAATTGTTTTCAACATTGATAATAATAAGAAACGTTTTCTGAGCACCATATCAGCATATTAGAATGATTTCTGAAGGATCATGTGACACTGAAGACTGGAGTAATGGCTGCTAAAAATTCAGCTTTGCCATCACAGGAATAAATTACATTTTAAAATATATTCAAATAGAAAACAGTTGTTTTAAATTGTATTTTTGATTAAATAAATTCAGCCTTGGTAAATCTAAGACACTTCTTTCAAAAGCATTTCAAAATCTTAACAACGGTAGTGTAAAAAAAATATCACACTCCAAGAACAGTAACATTAGTATTATAGCATTAAAATTATGGAATGCCATTATTAAAACCACTTTTCCAATTATGCTAAAATATGCAATATAGTAACACACCTGTTCACCTTTATACAGTATATCACCGTGCTGCACCCCTAACTGTTAAACCTTAGTTTAGATGTCAGGGATCGTATCTTCTAGTGGGAAGATGTTACTTATTATTCTGATTGTATGATTCTTAATGAATCTGAAATATTGTGTAATTAATAATTTTAGTAATCGGTAACCATTTTGTAAAAGCAATAAACCTAAAAGGCAATGCTATTCTGAATACCGCCATAGCTGTAGACACCCCGCCACACACTGTGGCTAACTATTCATAATGTAGCAAAGCCTCACGTACCTTATCGGTTAAATGTACGTGCCATTTCTAGTCTAATAATTAGCCCCTTTGGTATAACAGCTTGCAGAGTGCACATTATGGCTCTCATCTTACATGATTTCATGATCTCATTTTCCATTAGATATTTGAGCGGCCAAAATTACATTCAGATGTCGCCTCAGTGGACAAAGAATTCGAAAAAAACCTGCTTGAGAGAATCAAGTCCATTAAGAAGGAAAAGTGAGTTGAGAAATTAATGTTTTTTTGTTTTGTTTTGATTGAATTTTATTTTTTCGTTCATTAGTTGTTCTTGTTATTTGTCTTCTAGCACAGCTTAAAATATGCTTAATTTAAAGTGAAGTAGTATCATTTCACACATGCATTTTGATTATATGTTCAAACCTCAGTAACTTTTGTCCAGGGGCACAGAATAAGTTTGTGCTAATGTTAAGAATTATTAGTATGTACCTTTATTGTACAGTTCAAAACCTATTCCGTTTGTGGTTTAGGAACGAATTGGCCTTCAGACTACCTGAGTTTGAACAGGATAGCTCTGACGCTGAGAACATGGACTCAGAATCATTAGTCAGCTCTGAGAGTCTACTAGAAGACCATTTTGTGAGTTTGAACTCGGAAGGTCAGTACTGAGGTACCAGACATTTTAATTACATTATGCTTGGACGCCCCCACATGCTCTGTGTTAAAGAGGGCTTGGATTTGCTGCTTTTGCGGTGAGCCAGTTATTGAGCTTCAGTTATTTAACCTGCTTTTTCTCTAACCATGGGTTTGCACTGCTGCTTTTACATAATTTTTTACAATTTCGTGTTAATATATTTAGTCCTCAGTGGCTAATCCAAAGCATCTCTTTCAGCAAACACTGGCTTTAACAGCTCCAAGCCAGAGAAACCTGCTAAACCTCCTGATCCAACACGGGATCCTAAAACAGGGAGCAAACCGCCTGCTGAAGAGTTGAGCCAAAACCGCTCTGCCTCACACCGAGATGGAGTCCAGTCCATGTGTGTCATCCAGAGCCAAGACGTCCCAGAATCCCTCGCCGCCTCCTTTTCTGCAGGCAATCAGGGCAAGAGACGGTTTTCAGACCTTGACATTCCTTTTATAGATGAGGATGTTTGACATTGTTACACCAAAAAAAAAACATATTCTAAAATCTGTGCAAATGTTTCTTTCCTGCAACGGTTCAAGCAACAGTCGGTATCCCATTTCTGACCATATCAACACTCACTTTGTTTTGAGGAATAAATCAAACGCTTGGTTCATGCATGCTGTCTTAAATCATGTTGTCCTGTTGTGTTTATAAGAATACATTTGTAAAACAAAACTTGGGTATCTTTAAAAGAACTTTAAAGCCATACTTAATTTCGATAATGTTTTACTGTGATTATTTAAACATTCCTTATATTCTTGGCAACATTTTGGTAGGTTAAAATATTTTATTAACAGCTTGTTAATTTTTGTGTGTCTGGGCCTATATTATTGTTTTTACAGGCACATTAGAGGAGTCATTGTTCCATTATTCTCGCAAACAAGAACTGTTCTCTTATTGCATTATTATATTCATTGTTTTCTGTGAAATTACTGTAAGTGGTGTATGTCATGTTTCATATGTGAATATTTTTATATTGTTAAAACTTTTTTTTTTTTAAGATTTGAAGATGTTGGAAGTAATATAATCACTGTTCTTGCATGCATGTTTGAAGTGGACTGTTGAAACTGCTGCAAGATTTTAATTTAAATTTTTTTTTAAATGCAGTTATCCACGGCAGATTCTACGATTTTTTTCTTATCAGCAGTCAAATTACATTTGTTTTAAGGAGAAATCTGTGAGAAAATGTTTGTGTCATAAAGGCGGGTGTTTTATATTGTAAGGATAGTACAGATATATTCTGCTCTAGTGAGGAAAAATTGTTACAACAGGTGTGTTAAAACCATAGACTATAAAAACTGGTGAGACAATGCTGCAGATTGAAAACTAGAATAAATTAGAACACCCATTTAGTTTTAGAAATCTTGATGCATCTTGACTGTAAATAGTTTTATGTTATGGGAATTTAAATCTAATTATTTAAATTCTGCTGTTGGCATTTAAGACATATAAAGGTCCAGCAAAATCAATGTGAATTACTGTCATTTATTCTTCTAAAATAAGTTTAAAAAAGCAACATACCATAGGTAAATTATTATTTATTTATTTATTTATTTTATTTTTTTTTTTTTTGCCTGGCGAAACAGTGTTAGTGAGGATAACAATTAAAACAGCACCCGATTATGGTAATAAGCACAATTAAATCTCGAGGAAAGCCACTCCCGTATGACATTGGCCAATAAGAAGCCTGCATTGAAAAAAATGGGCCGGACTCCCGAGAGCGAGGACTAAGGACAGGAAGTCGCATATTTTAGCGTGGATGCTAACGGGAAACTAATATTTTGCCACACATCGCCCGTCCATCTCCCACAAACAAGAATGGATACAAGTTAACAATGACTGGAGAGAAAAAGAAGAAAAAGCGGCTGAACCGCAGCATTCTTCTTGCCAAGAAAATCGTTATTAAAGATGGAGGCACTGTGAGTAAAACATTTCTTTGTGGCAGTTAGCCATATTCTAGTCAGGGCTAACAAGCTAAGCCAGTGTGTTTACAGGATGAGCTGTGACAACTCTACAATGAGTGTCATTTCGATTGGCAACCTGTCAGGCACCTTCTGGTGATTTCATCTGTTTCGTGATGTAAACTCGTATCTCTTTACTTACGAGGAGAAATTAACAGTAATTTATCCGAGACAATAGTTTCATTAGACAGCCAACAGTGAAAACAACAAGCCAGCTGGCAAGAAAGCCAGTCAGATCGATCATGGCTTGCGTTTTGACATCGAGTGATTTACCTTATGTACAAACCTGGAAATTAAACTGGAAGCTTGGAATTAAGAGAATGAACTAATTTAGTTAAAAAATAGTCTTCATGGTGACCATCAGTGACAGAAGTGGGTGTCCCATCAGAATGGAAATGAACATGCTTTTTATGACATCTGTTCTGTCCGACTGTTTACCTGATGTGTTCTCTATAACAATGATGTGTTTATGTTTTGTCATGTTGTTTTGGTTGTGAACCGGTTTTAAAAAAAAGTCGATTTGGCCTTAAAATGTCAAGACAGCTGCTAATGGGTGGTCAAATTTTAATTTAGACTTCATGAGTCTAGTAGGATGTATTCACGTGATATACTGTGTAGTCTATGGCATTGTCCTTTAAAGGGGTCATATGATGCGATTTCAAGTTTTCCTTTCTCTTTGGAGTGTTACAAGCTGATTGTGCATAGATAAGATCCCTGAAGTTGCAAAGACTAAAGTCTCAAAACCAAAGAGATATACTTTATCAAAGTTAAGACTCTGCCACGCCCCCCTAAAACGGCTCGTTCTAACACGCCCCCACATATCTACCTCACTATGTGGAAATATTTGCATAATGCTGCCCAAATGTGCAAGCAAAGAAAGAAGGCGTGGTTTCAGTAACCGCAGTTAGTGTTGAAGCAGCCATGTCAGAGAGACGCTGTGTGTTTCTAGGCGAAAGCAAAAGCACTTTATTTGGCCTTCCGAAAGTAGATGCATTTGAAAAATAATGTGTTTTTTGAACATTAAAGCATGTCAACATATTCTGTTACACCAAATACACCAAATAATGATCTTTAAAAACGCATCATATGACCCCTTTAAGGAAACACTCATCAAGACCATTGTTTGAAGGTCCCTAGACTCAAAGATGTTTGAAAACACTGCAAGGGCATGAAGACTCATTATCACGTAAGACTAAATATTGTTATACACCCTGAAATCATGGTGTTTCATGGTATTTTGTTGGTTGATGATATACTCTGTATTTGCAACCTGTGCTTATTTGCATGGTCTAATACAGGGTTCCAAGTTACAAAAAAGGTTTTAAATAAATAAAATGTGTGTATGTGTGTCTTCATTTCTTCACTTTAAAACATTTAAACCCCTGAGCTTTTAACGTCAAATTTTTGACCTTTTGTTTTTGTATAATATTGGTAAAAAGCACTAAACGTCTGTCCACAAAAATTTATTAATTAATGATTAGCTTTCGATCGTCACAAACTCCCTGAGTTCCGTTTGGGAAACCTAACCTAATTGTAAATGAATTTGGCCAGTTTGTAGCAGGCTAAATTGTATGTTTGCTATGAAAGTAAATCTTTTTTCTTTGACCTGTTGTAGGTAATTTGAACACACTACAGGTTTTCCCAGAAGTGTAAGATGGTTTTACATTGTACCATAAACAAGTTGTAGCCTACATAACAAGAGCTTTATAATCATTGACCTATTGTACAAGTGGTTAGCTTAAGACTCCTGGAAACCGATTTAAAGGTTTGACACAGTAGCTCTAGGTATCAACAGTAGCTTTGCAAACTCTCTAGTTAACATTTTGCTCTTCTAAACTTTATTGAGAGCTTTTACAAATATGTTATAGACAACACAATGAAGGCAGATGTATAGACTGACATTGTGTTAACCCTCTATTAGCCTGCGTAGCTCTTTCAAGCTGTGTTTGCACGGTTTGAAAGCTGCTTGGACACAGGCCTCAGCTCTTTCTTTCCCCCCTTTTTAATGATCCATAGCATTGTGTTCAGTCTGCAGGCTATTAAACACAGGAGTGTGGGCTTTCTTTTGTACCATTAAACTTTCGATGTTCAGCGTGCATATTTTCTATAAGGGTATGGCAAGACAGTTTTGGGCTTTTAGAGGTTGATTTAGGATGAGACATCCATCTGATATTTGTTTTCTAAAGTAAAAGCTTTTGCAGTGCACCAGATAAATAGCAAGTAAGTGTGAGATAATGAGTCTGGCATTGTAGGCCCTTTGGACCCTGTTATTGCACACTATGATCTTGTTTATTTAGTGATAATAAATGGTAATAAAGCATCGGTTATGTCAAAAATATTATATCTGTGATGTGCATCATGCCTTCTCCCATTTATCTTGTCAAAACGTCCTCCTTATTACTTCCTTTATCTATGTTGTTCACATTAAATCCTGTATTTTGTTTGTTTGTAGAAACTTTATTAGTAAAGTAAATCCTCCTTGTTTAGCCACAGGGGATTGGAGAGCCCAGTGTCTATCATGCGGTGGTGGTTATCTTCCTGGAGTTCTTCGCCTGGGGATTGCTCACCACTCCCATGCTTACGGTAAACCAGATTTGCTTCATCGCAAATTTCAGATCACAGTTTCAGATCAGAGCAAATTACGAGCCATGAATGTTTGCATTCATCCTCCCTTCCTTTTGTATCCATAACAAGGAGTGACATTTCCCATTGCCCGGATCTGAGGAGCCTTGTACAAATTTATGAATAAATGAATCCTGATCAAATGGAGAGGGCAGAATTATGCACTCAGTTTTAGTTGATAAGGGATGCATTGTGTCGTCAGAGTCTAATGAACCCAGCCATATTAAAACAACATCAAACAGCTTCATGCTAATAATGACCTTTTTATTCTGAAGGCTAACTGGAGGGTTTGTCAGGCTACATGGTTGTAAATGAAGCTGAACCTGTGATTTACTACTTTGTAACATTGTGCCAGTTGTTTTTATGCCGTTCAGCATGATACTATTGTTGACTCTGTATCCAGTACAGTCACAGCATGCTGCACAAAGTGCTATTTGCAAAACCTTTTGCCTCAAAGTGATCTGTGGCTTTGAGTGTAACCGGTTTTTCCTTATGATTTACACTGTATGTAAAGTAGAATTGGAGTTTCCTTTTCTTGAATAAGGCATGAATTGAAAGCAGTGTTGGGTTTGGCTCTCAGTATAGGTCAGCAGCCCCTTAGAATTAAATCTGGACCAATCAGGCAAAGCTTAATGTAATTTATTCTTGTGGTAGCAAAAGTTTCAGCAGCCATTACTCCAGTGTCACATGATGCTTCAGAAATCATTCCATTATGCTAATTTAGCATTCAAGAAACATTCCTTATTATTATTATTATTATTATGTGTTGACAACAGTTGTGCTGCTTAAATTTTTTGGGAAACAATGTTACCTTTTTTCAGGTTTCTTTGATGAATAAAAAGTAAAAAAATAAAATAATTTAAATGGAAATCTTTTGTAGCATTGTACATTTACTTAACTGCATTGCAAACTTACTGACCTCAAATGTTTGTAAGGTAGTGTAAAATATAAGACTAAAAATGTAAGATTTAATCTCACTGCTATTAAATTCAGGTATCAGATATTTCCAAGTTTGTTTTCTTTGTTG